AAATCGATGCTTATCTAGCAAAGGATACGTAGAGAGAGCAGAGCTCTTCTGAAGCACATGCTGCACATACCCTATAAATGCCTTTTAAACTACCTTTTCCACCGATTTACCCGACACACACCTTATATCATACCATCTGTAATGCCCCGTTGAATACTTTGAAGAAGAACGCCTCTATTTGATACATCCTGTGTACCTTTTGTATGCCATATAGAATACTTGTACAGTACCATTTAGATTACCTTTTAGAATCCATTATAGAAAACCCTAACAGTACCTTATACATACGTACGCAATACGGGCTTTAAATATGGAAAGCCAGCCGGAGCCCAATATCTGAGAATTTCTAGTTGAATTGCAGCTTTTGGGTAAGGGATTCCTATGAAGAAATCAGGAACCAGGAAAACTATCCTTACAACCTCCCTATAAAATACACTCTCTATGCACCTTAATGAATTTCATAAAACATACACTATAGAATACCTTCCTACATATAGGCCGCAGAATGCCTGTTGTACAATACGTTATGGAGTACACTCTAGAATACCTTGTAGAATGCCCTAAAGAATACCATCCTTACAGAAGACCGCCTAAGAAATATATCTTTTGTATAACCCAAATATACCTCATAGAATATCCTCCAGAATACCTTTTAAGATACCGTTTACAATAGCTTATAATATACCCTATAGATCACGGTTCAAAAAAGGAACATCAGGAGGAGGGCGCCGTTAAATAGCGTAGCATACAGAGGACAATAGACAATACTTCATGGTATTGTGTTGGTTCGAACTGTGTGGTGTCGTCGTAGACAGTGAAGACTACGCAGTATACTACAGTTTAGTTCGGAGTGGAGTCGTAAAGTCGTCTAGACAGTACAAGAAGAGGCTTCGAGGTAGGTCCTGGGGGGGGGGGGTAGCATATATATATATATATATATATATACATACATACATACATACATATATATATATATATGTGTACGTGTGTGTATATCAGATACACACCGTAGCCATTTTGGCTCAAGTTGTGCATGCTAGCATGATGTCACTTTTGTATTTCGATGTTCAAGTCATGGTGTCACAAGAAATTTCCACAGTGTCATAGAGCCGTTTTTCAAGCAGATTTTCAAGCAGTTTTGCAAGCAACTTTTCACGACAACATGCAGAAACTCGTAGTTTTGCGGTAGTTCTCGGCCGGGTGGGAGCAGGCGCCTCCAAAGTGAGGTGAATGGACGCCGGCTCGGTTCCGGGAACTCAGAGCCACAGTTGGGCCGCGAGAGTTCTGGGCCTTGAAGCAGCCCAGCTAGACCTGCAGCGTAGCATGAGTTCAGTGGAAGAAATCATTCATCAGCTTCAACAGAGTATTGCGGCCCTCGAGAGGGCACTCTTGCGTGTATCCCGCCTGGAACGGGAAACCCGACGTTTGGAGAGATCGAACATTCTTTTGGTTCGCGCTCTTAGGGAGAGTCAGCAGAACTATTCCTTGCTTGCACGTAGGGTGGCCGCTCTTGAAGTAGCGGGACTGTGAAAGCTTCAGTGCGTGTGTGTCATCTGCAGGGGCCATGCAACCACCTGTTGCGCCGGACCATAGGGCTTTTTCGAAGACTAAAGCATCTGCACCTCCCCTGCCTTGTGGAAATCCGCTGCCTGTACCTTCACCGAAGTGCTCCCCTAAAGCTCCTGCCCTACCGTCTTCAGGCCTGGCCTTGCCGGGATTGTCTACAGTGCGTGTCCCGGAGCCTCTGCCTGCTGCAGGGCCCCCGATGGAAGTGCCGGCGTTTTCGCCTCACCCTAGACCCTCTGCTAGTGTCGGCGCCACTTCGAAGGCTTCAGGTCCTCTTCAGCTGGGGGTTTCTTCTTCGGGGTTGAAGCGCACTCTTTCTGCAGAGCCTATTGGTGTAGCGCGTGCCACACAGAAGAGTCGAGGCAGTGCTTCTTCTGCTATCCCTCCGAAGTACAGATACAATGCAGGCTACAGTATGGTTGCGCTTTCACTTGTTTGGTCTGCTCTTGAAGTGCTAGGTGCATCTAGTGCTTTGTACCAGCAGTTGGAGCATTCCGTGCACTCGGAAGCGCACATCCAGCGGATCCTGGCAGGATTCTCAGTGAACACTGTGCTCCGATATCTGTCAGCATGCTCGGTTACACGCTTGATCTTCTCGATGGTGTTGTCATGGCTGATATTTTGGTTACAATGACTCTTGAGAAGCATGGTGATCCAACGTTAGGTGCTGGCACCCATATGACTATAAAAGCTCTGCGGTGGTTATGCAGGATTGGCCAAGCCGAGCTTCTTCGTTGTGCTTATGACAAAGTCATTGATTCATTTCTGAAGACAAACATTCCATCGGAACGTCGGGAGAGCTTCCCGCTACCGCTGTTCGCTATCCAACTTTGGGAGAGACGGATCCTTACGCGGCAGTCCACCATTCAAGAAGTCATAGTGCTAGGAGCTTTCTTATGTGCAGTGTGGGCCTCATTGCGATTTGCTGATATGCAGAGGGTTGAGTGGACGAGTTTGGTCTTCGACCTCAACACCTTGCGAGGCACTTGTTATCAGACGAAGACTTGCTCAACAGGTCAGCCATTTGGATTGCTGGCTTCGGGCATTCTATCGAAGGGAACGCACACGTGGGTAAGCAAGTATCTGCATGCACTGGACAAGCTTGCCTGTCAGCACCAGCAAGAGCATCCGGAGGCCCACACCCCATCGTTCATGTTACCAGCCCTGGATTCGGAAGGTTTCATCTTCCCTCTTGAGCCGATGTGCTATGCTCAGGCCCTGAAGCTGCTGAGGCACTACATCACGATGCCATGGTCGTCATCTCCCCAGAAATCCCTGCATTGAATCTCACAATCCATAGCTTGAAAGCCACTTTGCTCTCCATGGGGCTTCAAATTGATGTCCCGGAGACGGACAGGCGCCGCCAAGGCCATCATCGCATAACAAGCTCTGAATTGCACAGTCGTGATGACATTCACGGGGTGCCAAACAAGCATTAGGGACAGCGTCCGCCAAGGGTTTGAGTTTGTGCTTCAATTGCAGATGCCAGTCAAACCTTATAGAGCACCGTTGGAATCTTTCAGCAAGGCCTACGAGTTCGAGCCGTTTCTGTGGTTCAATTTCATGCTGGACGCCTCGGGCGGCTCTTTGCAGGGCAGTGATCAGTCTTGGGAGTTTCCGGAGCTGCCAGCCTCTTCGGATTCAGGGCCAGAGCCTGACCACAAAACTGGGTACCAATCAGATCCTGGTAGCTCGGAAGATGAGGATGAAAACCAGTGTGATGACACGGTCGATTCTTTGGGCACGGCTGATGAGTTCATCCTGGGCTCCACAACTGGAATTCTGCATGTGCTATCGCCATGCTCTGAGGATGATGGCATCTTCGTTCAGGGGCAGTACTTGCGTGCGATCTGTGGTGCCCCACTCTGCCTCGACAGGCTACGCATTCACACATTTGTCCCGTCCTCAAGCAGATTGTGCCGTAGGAGTGCCTGTTTGCTAGCGCTGTCCACCATTGAATGAAAGTTATGAGCCGTACGGGGTCACGAAAAAGGGGAGGGGAGACTGATGCCCATCCTACATTTCGTGTGTTATGCTGCAGCTGAGTTTTGTTTGCTTGCATGCGGAAGCTATCGGTAATGACCACACGTGCATGGTTTTTTCCTCGCCGCGCGCAGCAGGGACTGAAATCACGTGTCGTTTCACACTGTTTCACACCGTTTTGATCTTCTAGCGGTATTGTTTAGGCTGTTGCTGTTCTGTCTTTTGTCCTTCCGATGGCCGATGCCCTGAAAGCTGCCTTAACCTTTGAGGGGCTCCCTGAGGATGTCATCCAGGTTGCCATTGATGGTGGGTGGACGGCTTCGGCGTTCAAGAATTCGGTTGAGACCCAAACGGAGTTGGAAGCCATCCTGGATGAAATTTTTCCGGGTGTTGTTCTGACTCGACTCCAAAAATCGCAGATTCGAGCGGTTTGGGCCAGCACGCAAGCATCAGCATCATCTCTTTCTTCTTCGACGGCCGCATCCTCAGCTGCTGACGGGAGTTGGATTGAAAGATTCGCCCCGAAGATGTCGTCAACTAAGTTGTCGGAGCTGAAGCAGCAGTTTCTCAAATCATATCCGAGTGAGATTCTCACACCCTCCACCCAACCATCACTGCGGTTGTTGTCATTGGCAGCTCACCAGGAAGCCAAGCATGAGTACAAGTGGGTACCATGGAAGCTTCGCATGTCAGAGGAGCGGGCATCGGAGTTGCTCATTTCCCGCCCAGCCACACAACCCAGGTTAGAGATGATAGGATTGCCCAGCCTCATTCTCGACGAACCACCGTCTATCGAGATTGGTGATGGCACCATGGGGGTTAGCGGTGTGCAACGGATTCTTGCTGTACATGATACAGCCCTAGCCATGGTCGGATCAGCACATCTTGCACGTCTTAAGGCCTACAGTTCTAAGTTTGTGCATCTGCTATCACAGAGATTCGATCCCGCATCCGGCCTCAGGCCACCTAGCATCTCAGAGGCTCAACAGTTGTAAGGTACAGGGTACATACATACACGGACATATTTGGCATACTCTCATGCACGTGCACACACTAAAATTCTATTCTACTTGCTCGTGTCCCGACTGTGCTCCGGAAGGTATGCCAAAGAGCGATATCGGATCTGAATCCATAGGCTCAAAGTCTTGGCCGTGAACTTCAATCAACCTAAACCCTAAACCCTAAGAAATCAATTCTGAACCCCTAAACCTTAAACCCTAAACCCCTTAACCCCTGGATCCCTAAACTCCTAAACCCTAAGAACTGGGGGCCGCTTCTATCATCGAGTACCGTTCGACAGATTCGGACGCTGCCACTTAGAAGATCATGGGACTTAGTAACTAGGGTTATAAGTAAGGTAACTATACTTATAGATACCTATAAGCCCCAATTAAGGTACTTGTAACCTTACTTATTAAGTCCCATGAACCTCCAAGCAGACGTGCCTCCAGGCTCCCAAGGTGGTGAAGGCCACGTGGATCGAAGTGGCAGACACCGCATCTTGGGCTGAACTTAAACCCCTAAACCCCAAACCCTGAAGACAGTCTTTTTACTTGATGAGCAGTAAATATAGGGGCGTCAATAGTTAGAATGATGTTTGGGGCTAAGGATCTTCTAGTTGTTAGGGCCCTTACAGTAGCACGGTTGGGAATGTAAATATCCGTGCTATCGGGGGCTCGAAGGAGGGGAGGAGAGATGGACCGTAAGGCAGGGACGCCACCAGAGCCGTGAGGGCGGCGAGTAGTAATGCGGCTCCTTACGGCGTCTCAGTTAGGATTAGGTTAGGAGCTGCTGCTTTTCTACTACGACTGCTCTACTAGCATTGCTACTGCCATGACTGCGACTGCGACTGCGACTACGACGACGACTACGACTACGACTACGACGACGATGACTGCGACGACGACGTCTGCTACTACTAGAGGCATTGACCGGGCTTTATGTGTTGGGTCTGAGGGCTCTTCGTTGTGGCGGCACTCTTCTATCAGAATCAAGACGAGGGAACGTCTGGGTTTCGGTCAAAAACCGCCGAGGCGCTACAGCCCAGAACTAAAGCTAGACATATTGGGGAAAATATTTTTTCCCCAATATGTTTAGGCGAAAAAATATTTTTCCCCCAATATGTTTGGAGCAAAGAAGCCCGCATGTCAAGTCCTAAGTCCTAGCTTCTATAACCCTGCAGGCCCCTGAATTCACCTATAAATCCTAATGGCCCCCAAAGTAAGCCAGCCCCTCGACCCAAAAGCGCTGAGCCAGGTTTTGAGGGTTTTTAGGCGAGAAGCTTCAGGGTTTCGGACTCGTGATGTAGGGGTTTAGGGGTTGAGGAGTTTAGGGCGTGTAGGGGTTTGGGGTTTAGAGGTTTAGGGTTTAGGGGTTTAGGGTTTTTTAAGGGTTTGGGGTTTGCGGTTTAGGGGTTTAGGGGTTTATGCAGACGTCTGCGGGCCATCCAAGCGAGAAGCACGCCAAGATGCTGGGTTTAGGGGTTTAGGGCTTAGGGTTTGGTTGCTGGCGGGGGGTCAGGGTTTCGGGCGCTTTTGTTTTGAACCCCAAACCCCTAAACCCCAAACCCGAAAAAAGCCCCAAACCCCTAAACCCTGGTTTCATTCCAAGACCAGGCAGACATCCTGAAGGAGGGTTGGCCTGCCATGGCCCCAGCTGTGGTCTACGACGCTGCAGCGAAGGACATCAGCTCAAGAAAGGCAGACGCAAAACCCCAAGCCCTATAAGCCTTGACGCAAAACCCCAAAACCCCAAACTCTGCGAAACCCACAGAGTTGGAGTTTCCGAAAATAGGGAACCCTTCTTATATAGTACCCTAAATAGTAGGATCCTCATTATAAGGACCCCAAAATAAGGCAATTACCCCTAAATTTCGAGATTGAAGAAGCCGTGCAACCTGAAGCCCGAAGCCTTGTCTCACAGGGCTTTAAGCCACCCTACAGTAGAAGCCAGAAAGTTGGAGAATATCATTATCGTAACCCTTTTAAGGTAAATTATAGGGGATCCTGCCATTATTCCATATTCCAACTTTCTGCAGTTCCCTTTAAACCCTAAACCCCTCGGCATGAAAACGAGGCTTCAGGGGTTTGGCTTTGAACCTGCTTTGGTGTTCCGCTGTCAGGTCGAGGTTCCACCCTTGACCCTAAACCCTAAACCCTAAATCCTAAACCCTAAACCCTAAACCCCTAAACCCTAAACCCTAAACCCTCATTGGGTAGTAGGGCCCCCCATCACTTGGCATCCGACGGCCAGGATCTCCTATGCTCTGTTCCACGGCAGCACTCGCTTCGGGTTGAGAGTTCAGGTCTTTCTGCCAGTTTAGAAAGGAGGCCTTATAGTGCCTTGCAGCCTTTGAGAGATTGTTAGCACGGGTCCGGCTCAACTTTGTTTAATGCATTTGTTTTGTTTTTTTTTTTTTTTTTTTTTTTGGGGGGGGGTGTCCTTGTTGTGATGAGGCGTTAAGCTAGTTACTTCAGAGGGAGACCCATTCCAAGGGCACACAGAGACACGAGCATCAATTTCGTGGCGAAGGTATCCATAATCAGGTCAGCCTCATCAGCATCACCACCATCATCACCATCACCATAGTTCATCATCACCATCAGCATCACCGTCATCATCGTCATCGTATCGTTATTATCATCGTTGTCATCAGCAGCGCCAGCATCGTCATCACCAGCATCTTCTTCTTCATCAGCATCATCATCAGTAGCGTCGTCATCATGGAGTATTGTACTAGACCTAGTTCAATTTCTGTTGGTACTAGTGCTGTCATTGCCATAGATAAAACTATTGTTGCTATTGGTGTTTTGACAGTCTTGCAATTATTGTTTTTGTTATTGCTATTGTCATCGTTTTTGTTTGTCGTATCAGTATCATTACTATAATCAACTTTTGCAACCATGTCTGTTATGATTCTGTCATTCTCCATGTTATTTAGTACTATTCTGATTCTTATTGTTGTTACTACTGCTGCAGCTGCGGATGTCCGTACGGCCGAAAGTTTACTACTGTTCAGAGCTTCGTACGGCAGCTCCCTACTCAAAGACTGTAGGCCCAGATTTCCGACCTGAACCTCACTAAGGTAGAAGCCAGAAAGTTGGAATATGATTATCCTAAACCCTTTATGGTAAATTATAGGGGTATCCTACCCTGAAACCATATTCCAAGTTTCTGGAGTTCCCTGTAACTCCGTTTGATGTTCATGCGCCTCTGCAAACTCAGACCCGAATACGCAGATCCTCACTCCTTCCATCTCGGTGTGTTAGATACCTAAACCGTATACCCTAAAACAAACCTCAGGCTTCGTACTTGGTTTACGAGCTGGCGGGTGCTGCGATGGATTCCATGACATTGTCTCACGACTGGGAGTGGAGACCTTGCTTGCACGGAGCACATTTCCTTAATTTGAAACGCTGCGCGTCGTCGGCCTCGGCCCGGCTGTACGCGCATGCGGCGAGTGGCTACTATCTGCAGCAAGCTCTTGTAGGAAAAAAGTAACAGTTGGAATCGCACTTATAGTAAAAGTAATGTTCATAGCTACACGAAGCAGGATGATTGTGAGTAGTATTAGTAGTGGTAGTATCAGTACGAATTTTGGTGTCGTCATTCCGAAACACTGGATACCAAGACTCTTGCAAGCGGCGGGATGCCTTAAGTATGGGCCGTTGAGGCTGTGGATTTCGTGGGCGTCTTGGATCAGGGAAGCATCACAGCCTTTTCAACCACGTTACTCCGCCTATCCCAACGAAAAGGCGTCTAAAACAAGCCTGAGACGCACATAAAGATGCTACATCGCAGTCCCGTGTCGTCGAAAACTCCAGAAAGGAGGGGAGGGGGGGGAGGGGGGGCGGGCAGGGAGGGGAAGCGAAGAAAATTGGGTGGGACTGCCTACAGAAAGCCAAAATCCACTGGAGAAGGCGAAAATTCACCGCATCGACACGTTTCCATTTTTTATGGGGGGGGGGGGGGGGGGGGGCGGTGGCCAGGATTTTGGGGGTGGGTCACTGGGGAGGGGATTAAGAGGTGGGGAATAGGAGAATCCGAATATAGGAACCTCTGACCGCTTCGGCCGGGGCCGAGGCGAATTTAGGTGCCTTCATAATTAGAATAGGGTTTGGGGGATAGTATATTGTAGAAAAAGAAGGAATCCCCAAAACACTGATCTAATTATAGGTGCCTTAATAATTTCAATAGGGTCTTGGGGCCCATTATACTATAGTTATATGAAGGAAGCCTTTCTCCGATAGTTTGCCCATGCTCTAGGCATTCAGCTTCTCCTTCCAAAGTGCTTGGTTTGATATCCAAGGCTTTAGGAGTAACTTAGGGGTACTTAGAAAAGGATTTTAATTTTTGGTTATTATAATCCCTAAGAAACAACCAAAATTTTACTGTTTGCTAGGGTTCTAAGTTCAGTATAGATAATTCAATGTTGAACCCGAAGTAACTAGCGCTGCACCGCGCAATTCCAGCACGAGCCGCAAGGGTTTTACATTTATCGGGTGGTCTGCTGTTTTTAGAGACTCTCCGGGAGTAGCTTATGCAGGGTTGTATAGTTTGCAGATTTGGTGGGCACTTTCGATGGCCCTTTCCATCCCTTTGTGCCGAACCCGGAAGTGTCGTGCTTTCGCACCGCCACCCTGTAGCCTGCGCCCGAAAATGCGAAGCACCCCTCAACCCGAGCTTTATCTTGGAAGTCTTTTCTATTCAGTTTAGGGTTTAGGGTTTACGGAGGGTATCGTGAAATCCTTTACCTCAAAACACTCATCAGGACTGAATTCCCAGACATCGCCGCAGCCCTGCGGCGCCACGGCAGCATTTAGTGCTGGTGCTGGGCCCTATAGCATCCTAAAACTAAAACACCCCCTAAAATGCCCAGTAGTACCCTTATTCCCTTTTTGTAGTCCTAGGTTCCTTATAAAGTTACCCAATACCAAAAAGATAGGCCTTTTTATTCTTAGGTTACTGGGTATCCTAGCTCCAATCAAGCCCCTAAGCCAAGACTGAATTGGTTGGGTGCGGTTCATGGCGAAGAAGCATATCGGAACTCAAGCATATCGGTTCGAATGAGTACACGCCATCAGGCCTTTGTGCTTTTAGCCTATTGTCTGAGCTGTACAAAGCTTCTTTCGCCGTGACCTTGAAAGTCCCTCCACACCTCTGTTGCAGCTTCTGCAAGCATGCTTGGAAGTTAGGTTCATCTCGATGTCTTTGGAGCAAGTTATATATAGGGGCCTTAATACTTGGAATAGAGTTGTGAGGTATTGTATACTATAACCACAATAAGGAAAGGCAGTTATTTAGGCTCCTACATTACTGCTAGAAGCAAGCCCCAGGAGCACCATTAGTTACGTGATGGGTGTGATTTTCCCGTGTCGTCAGATGTGGGAGTTTCCGAAAACAGGGGACCCTAATATAGTACCCTTAATAGTAGGATCCTTATTATATGGTCCCCAAAATAAGGTACCCCTAATTTCGGAAACTCCCATGTGGTATTGGCCTTGCGGGTAGTTCCATGTTTGCTATCCCCAGACAGAAGTGTAGGAGTCGCTTTGAGAAACGGCGAATCGAATGCATGGTAACGTGCTGCACAAGGCACTTCCATCTTGCGGAATTTGCCTCGGTTATGTGTAATACAGTGCGTGTTTTTTGACATGGGGACGCTCAGCCCTGTTGCATTCTTAGTCGCCCACCTTCGTAAGCACAGCAACCCTGACTTCTCAAACCCTCTACCCTAAACCCTGAAACTTGGAATCAATCTTGCTGTCAGCACTGAGGCGGGCAGGGACGATCGAGTATCCGTACGCCCTCGCGACGCGACAGCAGCTATTATTAGGATACTGTCGGCTGCTGTTCGGAGTTTCGGCTTAAGGGCCAGCAGTGCAGTCTCAATCTTTCGCTGTTCAGCTTGACTGGGAGGCCACCGTCTCCTTGGCGAACGACAAGTGCTCTGGCAGCACCAGGGTTTCGGATGAGGATTTCGGATTAATCGTTGTTGGGGTTTGGGGTGTTTGGGGTTCCAGTGCGGACCGTACTTTCGGAGTTCCCGTAAAGTAAAAGCCAGAAAGTTGGAATATGATTATCCTAAGCCCTTTATGGTAAGTTATAGGGTATCCTACCCTGAAACCATATTCCAACTTTCTGGAGTTCCCTGTACCCCGAAAGGCCAGCTCATCTGGCAGCTTCAGTGCGAACCTTATAGGATCCTTAAGGGAGGGTGGTTCAAGGGGGGAGGGTACAAGGAATCCTTAGGGGAACCTTAGGGAGTACTAGGGAGAGTTAGGGATCACTAGGCTATGTACCCCCCTTGGAGCCCCCTCCCTTAAGGATACTATAAGAACCCTGGGCTGAGATTGTTGTCTACGAGGGGTTGTTTTGTGTCCAGCTGCACCCAGCATCGTTGTATATCTGCATGACTCATTCTTCAGGCATTGCATTGGCGATTTAGGTTTTAGGTTGGCCTGACACCCCTGAATGACGCTATTTCTGCAAGCTACAGACATATCTACTGTTCCCTAAACCCTAAACCCTAAAGTCTGCAGTAACGAAAAGGGGCTTTCAAAAAAAAACTAAAGTGGGTGGGTAAGCCGTGGCCGCTTGGCGACTGTGGAATCTGTATGGTCCGTGCAGACAGGGGATCCCAGAAAGTTGGAACATGGATTAAGGATGATTAGTGCTTCACATTTTCTACTATTTGCTTAAGAACCCCCAAAAAATAAAAAATAATAATCCCTATATTATCCCTATAAGGAATACATTTTTTATTTTTTTGGTGGTTCTTAAGCAAATAGTAGTTTTAGCTTCGGGCCAGGAGAATAATAATGGTGTTCCAACTTTCTGGCTTCTACTGTAGAGCAGGCTGCTGTCAGGCTAAGCACGTGCATGTTTGTGCGAATAGCCAGGCACCTCGGAAGGGAAACCCATCAGAGTAACCCTGAGTTTGGAACTGAGGGCTAGGCCTGCAGTTGAAGCTCCAGAACGAACACCCGGTCAATCGTTTACGTCTCAGGCTTCGTTTTTTTGTCGTTTCTGGATTCGTAGACTGCAAGGGGGTTCTCGCTCTACACAGAAGCTTATGGTCACCATAATAACATAGAGGTCTCTCAGACATACATACTTACATACCTACATACATACAAGCATACACGGCCTTCTGCTAGACAGCGGCATTCCAATACCCGTTAAAGTCATTCAGCCGAGCTCTTACTGCATGTGAGCACGGAATCCTAAACCCTGATCCCTCCAAGCCCCAAACCCTACGCCTTAATCCTGAAACACTACATAAAGCAACCCTGTGAGCTCTACAAAACCCTTACCAGTTTTTGTAATTGAGGGTTTAGGGTTTAGGGTTCCCAGTTTTAGTAATTACCCTGAACAATGAGCACAGAACCCAGATTCCAGTCCGACCAGGCAGAAGTGGGCCGTAGGCATTGCCACGCAGCTCGGCGACGTCCGGATCCAGGGTGTTTTTTCGGCTTCAGGGCTTCGGGGTTCCAGGGTTTCGTTTTCTCGGGTTGTAGAGCATTTGTTTTGAAGTAGCCGTCGGCCCTGAGTGGGGTTTAGGTTAGAAGCTGCCCCCACCCTGTAATAATGGTATAATAGGAATATAATAGGGCCCTAATATAATCCTATATAATCCTTATGGTCACTATTACAGGGTGGGGGCAGCTTCTAAGGTTTAGGTTTTGGGTTTGGGCTTTGGGGGGGTTTGGTTCGCCCGAGCTCTGCTGACACTGCCTCAGAGCTTAGGATGGAAAGTCCTCTCAAACCGGAAGAAGAAAGATGTGTGAGCTTCCGAAAATTAGGGATACCATATCTTGGGGCCCTCATAAGAAGCATCCTACTATTTAGGGTACTATATTAGGGTCCCATGTTTTCGGAAGCTCCCATTTCAATAGGCGGATTCTCCCATGAATCCCAGCAAGCTTACCCGTTGGAGATCTCTGAGGCTTCAATCAAAGCCAAGAAAGATAAGGACTCCAAACCTTGGATTCCAGAGCTCTCGACCCAGGAACGGGAAGCATCGGCAGCATGCAGCGAAGCTGTGCCCGGGACAGTGCAGTGAAGGGTTCGTAAGGAGGCATTAAACTTTTTCGGGTTCGGGTCTCGAGCCAAAACGGATTTGGGCTGTTTTTTTTTTTTGCCGAGGTGTGGGGCTTTGGAGATTCAGATGTGCTTCACTGTTAGGTCTGTGGCTGAAGCGGTGCCAGCTGCATCAGTTCTGAGATGATCCCAACAGACTAGGATGCCCAGTAGTACCCTTATTCCCTTTTTGTAGTCCTAGGTTCCTTATAAATTTACCCAATACCAAAAAGAGAGGCCTTTTTATTCTTAGGTTACTGGGTATCCCAACAGAGAATGCACATTAAGCGCGGCCCAGAGCTATTGAACAGCAAACCGGAATGTCCCACACGTTTAAACCCGAAGCCCTAAACCCCAGTAAACCCCAAATCCTAAAACCCTAAACCCAAACCCCCGAACCCTAAACCCTAAACCCTAAACTCCAGACATCATGCCCTACTCAACTGAGACTTTGACACCAAACCAAAGCTCAGGGCGCTGGCAGTCGCCTTGGCCGCCGACGCGCCATCCCTCCGGGCACCGGGGGCTTCGTGTTTAGACTGTGTATGCGTCTGTATAAAAAGCGTATAACATGTGTATATATATATATATGTATATATATATATATGTGTGTATACATATATATATATATATATATACATATGTGTATACATATATATATAGAGAGAGAGACATTTATATGTATATATATAATACATATATAATCATATATATATGTATATATATATATATATATATATGTATGCACACATAACAATATGTATATGTTATCTGTACAGTAGCATTTAGCTTAAGGCCTCAGGGTTTAGGAATGGGGGGGGCTTAGAGGGATACCCGAGGGCTGTATCTAGCAACGCAGCAAGATGCTTTGGCCAGCCCTTAGCATACATACTGCATTGGCCTTTCGAACCGAACCTTTGGGTCAGGAAGGTGCATGATTGAGGCTTCTTGACTAGGTGGGTCTTTGGGACATTTTATATTTTCCCTTATTGGGCTTAAGAGGATCTTACCTACTAATATGTTTCAAAGGCTTTGAAAGCACCTCCTAGTTTACGCCGCAATGACATCATGATCGAATGCTTTGCGAGGCATTTATACGGTATCAGAGCAGCCTTTCTTTCGGACGAGAGGGATTCCTTTCTTGTTTGTTCAGACCTCCATGTCAATTAGCGACTGAGCCGAGGCTGGGTGTTGAAAGCTTCCTTGCGAGGGATTTGAGAAGAGTCGTCGTTTCGAGCAGCAGCAGCAGCAGCAGCAGCATCTACGGAACAACTTTAGGCTCCAGGCCAAACGACGGCTGAATTTCAGAGTACGTGCGTGGTTGTGAACGATTGGAGCCCATGGGGTTCGGCATGAGTTTAAAGGGAACTCCAGAAAGTTGGAATATGGTTTCATGGTAGGATACCTTATAATTTACCAGAAAGGGTTTAGGATAATGATATTCCAACTTTCTGGCTTCTACTGTAAGGGTCATGAGGGGGGGCAAGGGGGACAAGGGATGAGGTTTGCATTGGCGACCTGTTCGACTGCAAGCATGAGCGTCTTCCTCGGGGCTCCCGCAGGATAGCATCACCAACCACCCGGGATTCCGCGAGCTTCTGGAGGTCCGGGAGCGGAAGTGTCCTTGAGCAGCTGTACCCTAAGGCCCCAAAGTAGTTCCTTTTTGGGGTTCATATATAGAATCCTATAAGGTAAGCCCAAAAAGGAACTACTTTGGGGCCTATGGGTTGGAGCCCTTAGGCTCTCAAACTTTCCTCAACAGCCCAAGGCCCCTTCACGTCCTGGCCGAAAGCTTTGGGGCATTGCGCCTCCTATGGAACCCTGAAGGTTAACCTATAGTTCCGTCAACCTGAAATGTAGTGGCCTAAATCTTTACCCATATCAATATTCGGCTCAAAATCATGTAGTCGTCCTTCGGGTTCCAAATTGCAACCATACGCGAATTGTACCCCAAGACGATTCTAATGCTGAAGACCCCGCTTTTCAGGCCCGGAAGCCTTGATCTGCGTCTTAGCAGTTGGACGGATTGAAGCCTAGATGGTTTAGGGTGAAGGGCTTGGCTTTGGGGGTTTCGGGGTTTTGCGTATTGGGTTTGGGGTTTGGTTGTTGTGTTTCGGGTGTAGGGCGGTATCAAGACTTCCAAGACATCCCAGGACCGGGAACTTACCTTTGGTCAGTAAGGAATGGAAGAATGGTAGTAAAAGTCGGTATAGTTGTACCATTCCTCCCCAAGGTCAAGGTCCTGGAGTCTGTTCAGGGCTTGCCGGTTTGGGGTTCAGGTTTCGGCGGCTTAGGGAGAATAGCCGCGCTAGAAGGATCGTTGTATGAAGTAGTGTTTTCTGCATGAATCAGTAGTACAGCAACCCCTGAGAATACCCCTTAAGGTACCCTCATACCCTTTTTTACCGCTTTTTTTGTAGCATATACTTGTAGAGAAAAATATCCGCTAAATAAGTATTTAGACCTTTTGGTGTTGCAAGGTTCAGGGCAAACGCTGCGAATTGTTCTACATTAGGAGTCCTTTGAGATTCTCATCGTACTCGTGATCATAGATCCAGGCATTGCGGTCCCCAGGATCAGAATCTTCTGGGCTAGAATAGTAGGATTCATATAAGGAACCCAAATAAATTCCCAAGGTATCTTAATCAGGTTCCTAGGCTAGATCGAAGCATCCCGCACGCCAGGCTTCTGGAATCTACACCGGGGACACTTGGACTAAGCCGGAGTTTGTGTTTCTTTGTGTTTCTGCCGGTTGGGGCTGAAACCCTAAACCCTAAACCCCTAAACCCTAAACCCTGAAGCTTCGAGAGAGGTTGAAGAACCAAGGTTTGTACGACTGTTTAGGCCTCGGGGTTTGACACTCAAAGCAGACACGGCAGTGCATACATACGTAGCTACATGCGTGCAAGTAAACAAACATACAGACGCATCTATGTGCCTGCATGTCTACATCCTCACATATATATATATATACATACATACAAGCATGCTTGCACATACATAAGCATGCATGAGCATATGCCTGCTTGCGTCCGCATACATGCGCTGCAAGATGGATTTGTCTTTGCCTTCATGCCTGTATTATGTATCTATCTATCAGCCAATCTATCCCGCTGCCTATCTATATGAATATATATATATATATATATATATATATATATATATTTACCTGCCTGTCTATCTATCAATCAAACTAGGCATCGATGTATCTATGTACCTACTTATCTATGTATGATCTACCTATGTATGCAAGCATGCATGAATGCATGAATGTCCGCATCATGTATGAAGCAATGTCTGAATGAATGTATGTAAGCATGTATTTATACCTGTATGTGAATGTTTCCATGTGTTGTGTCATAGTATGCTGTATCGTGTTGTGTTGTGCTGTGTTGCAGTATTTTGTGTTTGTAGTATAGTGTATTGTATTGTTTTGTTTTGTGCGGTATGACATTGGGCTGTACATGTAGCATATTCGTTATTGTGTTGCATTGTCACACTATTGTAACTTTAGTTCTGCTATGCTATGGCATGCCGTGCCGTGCTCTGCCGAAACAGGCCAGCTAGCCTAGGCTATGCCATGCTATGTTGCATCTGGTTATGTTTCGTTTTGGTTCGTGCCTGTGCATATAGAGATATACGGACAAAGAGCGGGAGAGGGAGAGAGAAAGGGAGAGTGAGAGAGTGATAGAGAGTGTGACAGAGCCAGACACATTGATTTTGCTTCATTGTAGAGATATTCCGCCGTGTTGCTACATCTAATTGAAACCTACCTAGGCTCCTTATTTTGGGGCCCTTGTAATAAGGATCCTACTATTTAGGGTACTATATTGAAGTCCCCTATTATCGGAAACTCCTCCCAGCTCAGCTTGGGACCTGACCAGATGGGACGCCAATCTACCAAAGGGCTCTGCGCGTGAAAGCCCGACAGAGTCGTCTGTAGCTAGTAGGGTTTAAGGTTTAGGGTGCGTCTGTATCTAGGTCCCAGCATCCGCACCCTGTGAAATCCGAAGTCTGAAAACGAAAGCACCGAAAGCTGCAAGTCGAGGACACGCTCACGCCCCCGGCAGATGCAATCGAACTGCCATGTCCTCAGTCGAAGGCAGACCAGCAGCTGGAGGGTGTTCCTCTCGAAGTGGCTGATCTCTGATATCACGTCAGGGATTGCCAGAGTTCTGATACTGTGGCATCCGAAACTCAGGGAACACATCCAGCCAGTTGTGGAAGTAGCTGCAGCAGTGAAAGCGACACTGCTGCGAAGACGGCCAGCAAAAACATCTGCACAGCAAACGACGCAACTGGCAGCATCAACAGCAACAGCAACTGCAACTACTACGACATGAACAACAGCAACCAATCAACAACATCAAGAGTGTTGTCGGCACGAGAAAGGTCAGAAGTGCATACTCACCCATGGTCCTGCAGTTGCTCTCACCGATCAGTCTGCGATTGTGATACTGGAATTGGTAATGTTTCTACTCCGGCAGTTCGTTGGTCCTGCTGTTTACCAGAAAGCTCGTGAACTTTTGACTGCAATAGATGTGCGCCGGGCATGATAAAACCCTCTGCGCTAGAAGTCAGACTCTGACATGCAGGGCACCAAGATGTGGCTTCGGGATTCACTGACCAGACGGCTTGTCCTGTCTGCTTGCAGGGTGAAGCCTCGACCCCTAAACTGAGATGTTCCAAAAGTGAAACCCCTACAACCTGAACTGCGCACCCGGAAAATTCGTAAGCTTACACCAGAGTCTGCAGTCCCAAATTGGGTAGTTCTCTAAATCAGGTTCCCTATTTAGGTCCCCAAAGTAGTACGGACCCTTGTAAACGACACCCGAAGAGGGACCCTACTTTAGAGAACTACCCCAAACTAGTCCTCTGTTCCAGCCCGAGGATGGGTACCGAACGGAGGTCCAAGAAGCGGCGCCGTGCGGCCCTGAATGACAGGGAGGCCTGTAGGTGTCGGATTTGGGCTGCTCTAAGTTCAGTTTACTAGGATGCCCAGTAGTACCCTTATTCCCTTTTTGTAGTCCTAGGTTCCTTATAAAGTTACCCAATACCAAAAAGAGAGACCTTTTTATTCCTAGGTTACTGGGTATCCTAGTTTAGCAAGGGTCCCTGTACGGTTTCGTTGGAGTTTTGGACTGAGGTTGGCCTTTGTGTGACGGTCAGGGGTGGGTATGTTGATGGAAGTTGTGCAGAGTCGACTGCGGTTACAAAAGGTCGTCCCAGAATACGTAAACCCAACCCTAAATACATACAAGTTCACTTCAAAGCCCTAGACCCATATAATATCTATAAGCCCTAAACCCCAATAAGGATGCACATGAGTGGTTGTCAAAACTATGGTCCTTTTTTGGGTACCCTAAATACTAGGTGCCGTATTATCATAGGGACCCAAAAAGGGACCATAATTTTGAAAACCACCCACATGGTTTTTTTTCAGGTTCCGGAGTGCAAGGCCAAGAACGACCAAGCATCTAAGTCCTTTAGCACCCGGACCCCGTTCTCCGGCGCTAGCACTTCAAGGATCATGGGACATAGTAACCAGGGCTACAAACAAAGTATCGATACTTGTAGTTACTCCTAACCTCAGTTAAGGTTAGTTACGAAGTCCCATGATCCTCCAAGCAAGCCGCTCAATCATTGAGGCTTTGGGTGGCAGGACATCCTGTGTATGTTGACGTTGACATCCTTACAGACAAGACTACCGGATGTCCCAACCTTACGGCCATTGTTGATGTGTGTTGGAGGTCCCGATTATGCAATTTTATTTTTTTTGAAGATGACAAGAACCCAGACTGCTTTTTACAGCACGATTTGTTTGTTTATTCGATTGTTTGCTTGTTTGCTTGCTTGCTTGTTTGCTTGTTTGCTTGTTGACTTGCTTTCTTGCTTGTTTGCTTGCTTGTTTACTTGCTTGTGTCTGTGTGCGCGCTTTGATTTTCGAACAGCCCACGGTGTAGTTCTTGAAAGGCGGCCTCGACGACCTGTGTTCCGGTTCCCAAGCGTAATGCCCTTAAACGAACCCCTGCAGTACCCTTCAAAGGAACCCTTGTAGACTTCTGGTGCCCTTGATTGAACCCCTACAGTACCTTTCAACTTATAGTGCCCTTGAAGGAACCCCTACAGTAACCCTTCAAAGGAACCCTTATAGTACCCTTCAAAGGAACCTTTTGTTCCAGCTCCCACGCGTCATACCCTAGACCTTCAACCGTAAACCCTAAGCCGACCGAAAGGCACAGCATCCAAATCTCTGACATGGCTAGGATGCCCAGTAGTACCCTTATTCCCTTTTTGTAGTCCTAGGTTCCTTATAAAGTTACCCAATACCAAAAAGAGAGACCTTTTTATTCCTAGGTTACTGGGTATCCTAGCATGAGACCCCTTCAACCGAAGCGCTCCTTACCACCAGGAAGCCTTCAGACTGTAAGCTCCTGATTCCCCAAATCTTGAAAACATGTTTTTGAAAATGGGGGCCCTAATATATAGTAGGATCCTTATTATAAGGACCCCAAAATAAGGCACCCCCCCCCCCCGAATTTTCGGAAAACTCTCCAAATCTTGCTCTTGGCAGTCTGTGCTGCCCCCGAAGATGCCTTTGGGGTCTGCGGCTGGGAAGGCTGTGAGGGGGATTCACGGTCACAGGATTTAGGAGTTAGGTTTTTAGGGGTAGGGGTTTAGGGTTTAGGGGTTTAGGGTTTAGGGGTTTAGGGTTGAGGATTTAGGGTTCAGGGTTTAGGGTTTAGGGGTGTAGGGTTTAGGGTTTAGGATTTAGGGCTTAGGGTTTAGAGTTTCTAGGATTAGTTTGGGGCTTAGTTTTGCTAGATGCAAGTGACGGCTGTGCCGTCGTGTTACCGTACCTGAAGCTTACACCTTTATCGGCTTCTCTTCGCATCGTGCTGGAGTTTGCAGCGTACCGGGTTTGCTTTGCAGTCATCGGCATTGGCGGGCTTGGATGGATGAGGGGGGCGAGGTTCGCGGCCATCTATGACGAAGAGGGCAGAAGAGCTCGCTAAGTTCTCAGCAGCGCACTTCCTTGAGTGATGATGCATTGGCATGTGAAGACCAAGATGAAGACAAGTTTCCCGAATACCCCGCCCCCCAAGCCTCGAACTAACTAAGCCTGAACCACACGAAGCCAAGCCTGACACACTTTTTTGACGCAGCATTGACAGAGCCATTGCCAAGGCTTTGAAACCGAGTAACCTAGCAGAATGACGATGGGATGTCGGAACATTTTACATTTTTATGGGTACTTAAACCCAATAAGGAATAAAAATCCTATCCCAACCATGAACCAGGCGCTCCTGCATGGATGGACTTAACCCATGGGTCGGTCAGGGTGCATCATCCCGGGAGACACCATACTTACATGGGTGGTTGTCAAAACTATGGTCCTTTTTTGGGCCCCTGATATAGCAAGGCACCTAGTATTCAGGGTACCCAAGAAGGGACATGGGAGTTTCCGAAAATTAGGGGTACCTTATTTTGGGGTCCTTATAATAAGGATCCTACTATTTGGGGTGTATGAGGGCCCCCTATTTTCGGAAACTCCCGACAACACGCCCGTTCCTCTGACCAGCTGTTCCCGTGCCCCTCAGAATCGGACAGGCCCTAAGCTTTAAGTCCTATGAGGCCGAATCGCAGGGACCAATCAAACCCAGGACGGTGATTGGGAGGGTAGCCTGGGTGCACACTAAGAGGGAGTCCTCCAAATTCATGCATTCGTGGGACAGACAAAGTGTTGGATGTTCACGAATTCTCATCGACAATGATTGACATCGGGAGCTTTTTCCCAAAGGTTCCAAGTATCATTATGGTATATACTTATAGGGTATGTTGGGGGGTTCTAAGTATATACTACAATGATACTTGGACCCTTTGGGTTTGAGGTTTCAGACAGGAGCTCCCCGACACAAGCCTGATAAGTTTGAACGTAAGGGGTCTAGGACTTCAGGCGTCGGAAGACCGTTGTAAAGCAACTGCCAAGCTTGGATGAAATCCTAGCCCCTAAGCTGAATGACCCACTCCTAACTAACCATCGGAGCCAGGGTGATGATAATCCCTACTCAATAAGGAGCTAAAGAACCAAGGGAACCCCAAAACCATTGGTTAGCTAACCTTTGAAAACCCAGAGAAGAATCACGGTGAGCCCCTGGGCAGGCCTTCCATGACTGGCACTACAAGACCATCCTTTGTAGTGCTTTGGCTGAACCTTGCGACATTTGGCCCCCGTTCTATTTGCCTGCTGATGAGCTTAGGTTGTTGTGGATAAATATGGAGGTGTTTAGGCGAGCTGTGGTGGAGCCCCGGATGGGGACCACCTGGAATACCCAGGTATTTCGCTAGCTGTCAGCCTCTGCACATTCGGTTTTTGTATCCTTACCGTGTCAAGTTCATGCGCTTTGCTGTGTTTGACGGGAGACCAATTGTGGAAGGCTTCTTCGATGGACTTTGCGTGACGGGGTTAGCTGTTCCTGCCTCTTCCCAGTGTGAGTGCACAGGGTAGCGTATGTTCCTGCGTCTATCTTGGTTTGTATGACAAAGCGTTCATATGGCATCGCGATATGTTAATGAAGGACCGCCAGGAAGCTACAGTGCGTCAAGCAATGAAAACATCTGTTCATTGACGGTCTTTGTCATGGGATCCTCCTCGTAGCTACATGTCCAAAGATGATGAATGCAAACGTAGCAGGAATGCTATGCACAAGTGCATGTTTACAGCACAAAGCCAACTTATTCTCTCTCTCTATATGTATATACACACACATTTATGTGCATATATATATATATATATATATATATGTGTGTATCTATGTATGTACATATGTGACAGATTTGGTTCAATAGGCATTATGTAGTGCTGTTTCAACGCAGCATAAACCATCGCTGATACTTACAGACTTGTGTACATGGTTATACGGCAACAAAGCAAAGCATGGTTCAAGAGTTGTTTCAGAGCACGTATACCAACTGAGCACATGAAGCTGGGCATGAACATGGCTTGACTGCGCAGAACCATGTTCCAGGCTAGACCCTCATGCAGCACGGTGGCCAGTCACCAGCCATGCATCATAATGCGTGCACAGCTAGATCACTACATAGCAACGCAAGAGTCTATCATGATGCATGACATCACTGTAAAGGTACACTGAAATTAAGGCACATTGCAAACCCGAAAACCCTCAAGCGAAGAGACCGTCACCCCCCCGAGCCAGAACACAAGCCCTTGACCCCGAACCATAAACCCTAAGCCCCCGAACCCTAAACCCTAAACCCCCGAACCCTAAACCCTAAAGGCCCGCGAACCCTAATCCCTAAAGGCCCCCGAACCCTAAACCCTAAAGGCCCCCGAACCCTAAACCCTAAAGGCCAGCGAACCCTAAACCCTAAAGGCCCCCGAACCCTAAACCCTAAGCCCTCGAACCCCAAACCCTAAAGGCCCCCGAACCCTAAACCCTAAAGGCCCGCGAACCCTAAACCCTGAACGCAAAGTGCCCTCCCTGCTTGCCAGGAGACTTTCAGCAGGACTTCGCCTGTCCGAGCCTCTTAGCTTCAGTTAGCCCCTTGAATACGTTTTTAAGGCTTAGGGGTGGTTCAGGGCTTAGGGTTTAGGGTTTAGGGCTTCAGTTATGGGAGTTAGGATTAGGGGGAAACTTGGGGATATACACATTCTCAATAAGGCCCCTTTTAAGAGAGCCAGAAGTAGAATTCAGAAGGGATACCCTTTAAGGGGTCTCCCTAATAATACTACCTAAGTTAGCCCAGTACTTTTTCAAGGTTTAGGGGTTGGGGTTCAGGGTTTAGGGTTCGTTGGGGTTTAGGGTTTAAGGTTTAGGCGTTGGGGTTCAAGGTTTAGGGTTCGTTGGGGTTTAGGGTTTAAGGTTTAGGGGTTGGGGTTCAGGGTTTAGGGTTCGTTGGGGTTTAGGGTTTAAGGTTCAGGGTGTACGGTTTATCAGGGTTTCGGGGTATCCCTAATATGAGGTTATAGGGGCTTCAACAATGTTCTGAAAATAGAGTTTTGTTCTTTATAGGGGCTCGCAGGAATTCTAAATATGGCTCTGCTCCTACAGCTCTGCTGTAAGAGCTCCAAAAGTTTTTTGTGAATACGGTTTTGGCGTTCGTACAATACCCCTGATAGTGCATATCAGGAAGACCAGATTATTGGGCCGTAATCAGTGGTATAATAATGGGTTTGGGACATCTCATAGTATATATTCTACATTAGTGAGCCCCGAGGTATAGTATTGGTAGTTGTCCCGGCTGCCGTAATAATTGCAAGCATTGCTAACATTCTAGGTAAGTTCTGACCTGGCCAAAGTGCTACAGGTTCGCTTGACTCGGTTTTCTGACCAACTGATGTCCGTTACTAATGCTATAGGGGTCGGAATACTTCGCAATAGCATGCCCTTGCAGTCTCCAATATGGGTTACAAGCCAGAATGCACCCCAAAACCCTACTTCCTAGCCTGATTACTACGCACTATCAAGGCACCTATGTTCAACCCTAAGCTCTTAACCCCAAAACGCCTAAAAGCACCCCAACTCCAAGGCCTTAAGGTAAAAGCCAGAAAGTTGGAATATGATTACCCTAAACCCTTTATGGTAAATTATAGGGTATCCTACCCTGAAACCATATTCCAACTTTCTGAAGTTCCCTATAAGTCATGGATATGTTTCTGGCTGTGTGCGAAGCAACCAATCCTGAAAGCTTCGAGTCATTCCCTGCGAAGGAAAATCCTCCTTTAAGGTTTGGGGCTTAGGATTTCGGGGTTAGCCACTACTTAAAGGATCATGGGACTTAGCAACTAGGGTTATAAGTAAGGTAACTATACTTATAACTACTTCTAACCCCAATTAAGGTACTTATAACTTTACTTACTAAGTCCCATGGTCCTCCAAGTAGTGGTCTAGGACTTGGAGTTTATGATTTAGGTGTTTAGGGTTTAGGGTTTAGGGTCCAAATCCCGAAACCCGAGAGCTGTAAGTCTTCAAAGCGCACAGCCCTCAAGCCACAACCTTGCCGAAGCCCACTTTCGAAGCCCGCCCGGGTTTCGGGTGTTGGTTTGAACGCGCCGTACTTGGAGGTTCAAGGGTAGTCATGAAATAAAAATAGTAATCCCTATATTCCCCCCATAAGGAATATATTTTTTATTTTTGGGGGGTTCTTAAGCAAATAGTAGTTATAAGTGGGGTTAAAGTGCCCTAATATGGGTTATAACTATAGTTGCCGAACTTATAACCCCACTTATAACTCCCCATGAACCTCCAAGTAGCTGTTTAGGTTTTGAGCTGCGGGGGTTTGACGCTCGGGGCTTGAACGGTTTAGGAAGTTCGAGACGTACCGGTTTAGGGCTTCAGGGGTGTAGCCCAAGAAGCCTACCTACTTGTAGTCCGCACATCAGAAACCACGACGCAACTCCAAGCCAGGCCTATAAACCCTATAACACTGCAGCTTCAAAAGAGTCACCCAGATCCGTTCTGGTAGTATATCATCCTACTGTTTTTCTTCGAGTTCCTGATTCCTTAGAGTTCCTTGTTTCTCAGAGTTCCTCATTACAGTTACACAAAGCCCTATTCGAATTCTTCCGGCCCCTGTGTTCCCTTGGGGGTACTTAGAAATAATTTAAAATTTTTGGTTACTATAATCCCTAAGAAACAGCTGAAATTAAAATTTTTGCTAGGGCTCTAAGTTCAGTATAGTTCCCTGGGCCGCAGGGGGTGAGGATTGCTACTACGCCCACGGGAAGGAGGAGCTGAGGCGGCCGGGGGAGGCCGCACGGGCACCTTGCATGGGGGGTTTAGGGGTTTAGGATTGAAGGGTTTAGGGGTTTAGGGGTTTTGGGTTTAGCGGTTTTGGGTTTAGGGTTCAGGGGTTTAGGGTTCAGGGGTTTAATCTTTAGGGCTTTAGGGTCGGGGCTTTTATGGAAGAAAAGAAGGACATCCCAAACAAGGACTCTAGTTCAAGAGACGGGGGTTGAATAGTGTAGGATTCTCAGTTTGGAGTTCAAGGACTATGCGGTTTAGAGTCTAGCGGCTATCCCTGGTAGAGTTAGGCTTACTGTTGAAGGTGTTCACCCTGGGTGGCCATACCCTGCAGCGAAGCTCACGCAGAATGTTTTCTATGGCTGGGCGCAGAGGCGACTCACGATCTCAACGAAGCAACAAGAGAACCGACAAACCAACAAACGACCTGTACAGCTTTACAAGTTGTTGGTTACAGTACACATGGCTCAAGAGGCTTTCCTACGCAGCCTTCCCCTAAGCCAAAGGATACAGGAAACACACATGTACAAGCCTACCTGAAGGAAACTATACAAGTGCCGGCAATCCCTTCAAGCAGACTACACACCTGTCTAACCTGATACCTGGGCATGCAGTGAGAAGCATTTCAACACTCCTCCTTGCTAGAGCCGACAGGCAACTAGCACACGCTGCACTATTTACAGCATGCCCGTTCCTGGGACCTCTAGCCTTGAACCTTGGCTTGCCTTTAGAGACCTGTGCGGTGGCGGTCTCTGCAAACACGGCACAAGTTGCGGGTAGTTAAGGGTGTATTACGCCTTAAACCCCAACAATTAGAATCTAGATGAACACAATCCCCGTGCGCAGTGAAGTAAAAGGGACCTTGGGGAAGTTCATACTGCGTGCGGATTTCGATCCTGGCAGGCATCGGATCTGGTGGGACTCCTGTGACTGGTTGGAAAGCAGGCTCACGATCCGTTTGAGTAGACTGCTCACGCACTGCAGGGCGGCGACGAGACTGTGTGGCCTTGGGCCGTGGTGCAGCAGGCAACTCGTGGGAGGACTGCGAAGGCACAGGTGCCCTCTCGTTGTGAGCTGTGGACTCACCTGCTGGTGGTCTGGAAGACACGTCCTCAAGACTCATGCCCTGCAGTTGGGCAGCAAGCTCATCCTCAACAGCTCTCTGCATACGCCTCAAACGACGGGCTCGACGAGACGACGCATGCGAACCAGCCCACCACGCATCAAGCCGATCCCACAATCTCTTCAACCACTCCCACACAACAAGGACACAAACCAATGCCATGCCAAGAACGAAGTACAGCTCCAGGGATCCATCAAGCTGCAAGCCAGGATACTCGGATTCACGGCTTGAGCTTCGTGCAGGTTGGATTTGAAGCAAACACAACAAGGCACTCAACGCGACTGGGTCGACAGCTGCTGACGAGCTCGGCCTGACCTCTCGGTCGGCTGTATCACCCGCAAAGTCACGCATGCCCCATAACCTGACAAGCTCTTCAATCCTTGCAGACGGAAGAGGTTTGGTCAGTAGATCTGCAAGCTGTTCCACACCCGGGCAGAAGGCAAGCCTCAGCTTCCCAGAGCGAGTCTGCTCACGAAGGTACTCAGCTCTTACCCGTAGGTGTCGCGTTCTCCATGATCCATGACCGTCAGAAATCGCAAGTGACGCTTGGGAATCAACGTGCAAAACCCTTTCTTCCGCAACGTCAAAACCAACCGTGTGAAGCAACGCCTCAATTGATTCAAGCGCGATTGCACACTCAATCGAAGCAGTGAGTTCACTTTCAGCAGTAGAAAGTGTCACAAAAGCTTGACGCGCCGACCTCCAAGCAACTGGACATCCATGCACACACACGCACCAGCCTCCATGTGAGCGAAGGCCTTCTGGCGAGAAGCTTGCGTCACTCCAACCGTGAAGTTGGGTTCCGTCCGCCTCAAACACCAGCGACGCTGTCTTGGTTCGCTGCAAGTAAGCCAAGGCACGGTCAGCAATGCGTAGAGCACGACAAGGCGCCTTCGTAGACAAACTAGCAAGCAAGCTGGCAGTGAACGCCAGGTCCGGGCGAGTACGTTGAGACAACCACAGCAGTTCACCAGTCACCTGTTGCGCGCGGTGAACGGCCTCCCCGTCAGGGGGGCTGGAGTCTCCTTCGCCAACTTCAAACGACGCTAGCTCCCGAGGACAAGGGATTCTACCCCTCACGTGGCAAGGTACCTCATGAAGCCGCAAGACTTCTTCTGCGTACGACTGCTGTGAGAGAACAAACCCACGAGGAATGACAATGATGTCCACGCCAAGGAACTTGATCGGCTGCTCTGGGGTAGCTACCACAAACGGTGTTGTGGCCCACTTTTCTTGCAGAGCCTTTGCCAAACTTTGAAGGACACCTAGCGACCCACACAACAAGAAGTCATCAACGTACACCAACAATGCGCCCTCAACGCGACCACCTTCAACCCTGACGACTTTCCACCAGTTCGGGTCTAGGGTCGAAGGCTCAAGCCGGTAGGTCACGCCGTCAAGGTCCCACACCAACGCTGCCAAACAAGCATCTCGATACTGTCCCCACAAGCGCGGGGCCTCTCGAAGGCCGTAAACCGCGTGGGATAGTATCCACAGCTCATGTGCAACTGCAAGACCAAGCTTGACCAACAAGCGGGGCGGGGTCAACGCAAAGATGGGGAAACCTTCAAGACAAGGAATAGGCGTTTTGAGGAACGCGCTGGTGATATCCAACACTCCCAACAACCAACCAAAGAAGCTTGCCAGGGCAATCACTGTTCTCAAGCTCTCAGCCTGAGCACCTCCAGCATACACATCCAAGCCTGTATTTGGCGCCACATTTCCGCAAGCAACAAGTCTCGCTTTCCGACGGTACAAACCTTGGCCTTGCGACGAAGCCTTTGGAGCGCCCTGAAGGGCCTCTGTGCTGTTGTCGGGCTGAGTGAGCGCAAGCTTTCCAGTGTCACCAACAGCTGCTGCCCCTTGGTCGGGCGGTTTCACTGTGAACACAAACTTGGAAGGTACCACCTGCAGTCGAGGATCACTCAAGTACTCGGCCTGCCTGGGGTCTGAAGGGCGCAGTCTGAGCACCGCATGCTCAATGGCCTTTACTTCTTTCTCAATGGACGGAATCCAAGGGATTGGATTGAGTGCGACTTCTGCGGGGTCTACAGTGTGAACGATTTGCAGAGGTGAGCTTAGATTGCTTAGAAGGTGTTCTATGTTCTTCGTGAACGTCGGTTCGGCTTTGCACAGGCGGTAGGGGATTACGGGTCTACCTTCGCTTACGAAACCCTCCTCCTCTAACGAGCTCCGCGAACCACTTTCTACAACCTTAAGCACCCTCAAACTGCAGTTGCTGGCGTTTGCGGCATCGCTCATGGGCTCCTGCGGAACATACATGTCCCAAGACACAGTAACCGGCCAGGCCTCATCAATCTCAACGGGTCTTTGGTTCTGCTCTGGTCCGGCCTCCTCTTTAGAGGGGCTGCATACAGGGGCAACTGGCCGATACGAACACGACCAGTTCACAGCGAAGTCTACAAACCCATCTGCAACTGGAAAGACCTCTTGCCAACCACCACCTTTGTTGACGGGTTGGCTCTCCGGGAAGCTAGGGTGTTGATGGATAGGGATCTCATGAGCCTCAGTGGCCTCCTCCTCCTCCTGTACTTGAGACAGACGCGGGGCCTGGAGATAGGCGGAGTCTGGGAGAGGAAATCCCAAATCTGCTAAGCCGTCAAGGTCATCTTTTTCGGCCTTTCCAAGCACGTCGGAAGTGTAGCCTATAACAACGACGCGGGTGCCCTTGAAGGGAGTTACGAAATGATGCCGCTTAGGATCAAACTCGAAAACTTCATCCTCTTCAAGTCTGTGCACCACACCGTGACGCTTGCGACCTCGTGCATCAGTGTGCTCTACAATAGACCCCCTAACAACATCCCCACTACCTAACTCAACCCAAAGATCGCCCCCACGCTTAGGAAGACACACTGGTAGGATGAGATTTGTAGTTCCTGGAAGGTTGGAAGAATCAGTGTGAATGTCCTTTTGACACGAGTTGGACAGACACACCGACGTGAAGGTAGCATCAGGTGCGTGATGCTGCAACAGGCGCGCGCACAGTGAGGCAAGCCACGGCTTACTCCAAGTCGATCGCATACAGCCTACTATCCCTCCCCTACGGAACATTCCAGCTTGATACTGCTCTTCGGGGTAGGCTTGGCAAACCTGCATGAGGAGATTCTTGGCAGCCTCAGGATCCCATTCCTGCAGCAAAGTCTTTGCGCCAGCTTCAAGCTCAGACCACGTCCATGAGCCGAGCTGGGCAGCTCTCAGCTCTGCTTCTGGCGGGGACTTTCCTACAACGCGACGCCTTACAGGGACAGACTCGCCCTCAAACTGCTCAGGGCTCTCAGGAGGCTCAACAACCTTAGTTCTCACGTGCAGCGACTGTGTGAACCCATTGCCTTTGCCATCATCCCTGTACACCAAATGACCTTCATTAACCGTTGGAGATAAACCCGCATACCGACCTGAAATCCACCGTTCGGCAATCTCGCCCTTAGCAGCTGCAACAGACGTGTAGGCCTTCACGCGCACCAGGCACTTAGCACCAAAAGGCGCTGCAAGCTTCGTGGCCATACCTAGTACCTCAGACCTCTGCTGTGCTGCAGCAGCTCGCATTGCACATGCCCACAGGGGCGGCGGGAAATCAGCAGCTCGCAGTAGAGTTCGTGCCCGAGTCTTAAGCCACCTGATGGTGCGCTCTGCTGAGCCGTTTTGGGCTGGCGCATCACCCTCAGTTGTGGTGACCCTCACGAGCTGATTTGCAAACCACTTGCGAGTGGCCTTATTCATGAACTCACGCGACCTATCGGTATGCAAACGCAAGACTGGAAGATTGAGTGCCCGCAAGTAGAGGTAAATTTCTTGAAGGGCTTCAAGGACGGAAGGCGACTTATTGTCAAACAGCGGAACGCAGAACATGAGCCTGTCAGACTG